ACTGAGGCTCAGTGTAGGAGGACATGAGCGCTGTGAAACGGGTCCCAGATAAGAGTTTCAATCAGCAGTATTATGACACAAATGTCAACATAGATGGATTTTGAATAATAAGAATAATTCAATCAATTAATTCATATGAATATTTATGTTAGCATATTCTATATAATATTCAATATAATATACATAAATGTCATTGTATAAACCAGTGGTTCTCAACCTTTTTTGAGGACTGGACCCCTATCATATATCAAACCATCCTAATGGACCCCCGTCCTACCCCCTCCCCTCCAACCCCACCCCACAGTCACCACTACCACTCCCATTATCCATCCCCTATTTTCCATTCCCATCACATCTTCAAAATTAGTATTTAATTGAGTCCAAATAATTTTATACTTTATTAATAATAACTGGCAACTAACGTAACATTTTTTTTGTTTGTTTTCATTTGCATTAAAATTACACAATCATCAAACACAATAACATTGACTTGTGAAACATATTTCATTATATAAAACAGTATTTTCACATTTTACTCCCATTTGTTGTAACTGAATTTAACTTGCCAACAAGGATTTACATAAAAATACCTTTGTGTTGCTTTTGTTACTGGTCAGTATTTTAACAACATGAAAAAAAAAAACTAACAGTAATGCTTATTTGCTTTGACCTTCAATTGTATATGAATTTATTTACATTAATAAAGGTCCATCTGAATGTAAAGTTATTCGTTCCATTTTCAACGTGAAATCTGCACTTGTTAATCACAAATAAAATTTTGCATTCTGGTGTTGTGTTGTCAACTAAAATAAGTATTTTTTTTTCATTTGCATTAAAATTACACAGTCATCAAATACAATAACATTGACTTGTAAAACATATTTCAATAGAACGCTTTTAACACATTTTAATGGCAGTTGTCGTAGCTGAATTTAACTTGTCAAAAAGGATTTACATTCATTATACCTTTGTGTTGCTTTTGTTACTGATCAGTATTTTAACAACATGAAATGGATATTACACTAACAGAAATACTTTTATGCTTTGACCTTCAAATATCAATTTATTTACATTAATAAAGGTCCATCTGAATTTGAAGTTGTTCATTTCATTTTCAATGTGAAATTTGCACTTGTTTATCATGAATAAGATTTTGCATTCTGGGGTGAAGTGTGGCAAAAGCAGCATGCAACCAATTGTGATTCGCCACTAATGTGAGTTGACTCGTCTAATTGTAAAGCAAAACTTGTAGTCCGTTTTAAGTTGCCCACCACCTGTGCAACGATATCTTCAGCCATATTGTCAATTCGACGGCATACAGTGTCGTTGGATAAAGGTACCGTTTTTTATTGCCTTCGCTGCATTCTTGTCTAGCATTGTTTCAGTGAGAATAGCTGCTGCTGGCACGATTAATTCCTCAGCAATTGAATATGTTTTTTTAGATTTAGCCACAAGCAGTGATACCTCATATGATGCAAGGACGGAAGAGCTGGACATCTGTGTAGCAGCTTTTAATTTGTCTCGACTCTTTTGAAATTCAGAATATTTTCTGTGGAAGAATTCTGCCGACCTACCGACACATGAAGAATGTTTAGTTCTCAGATGTCGCTGCAAATGGGATGGTTTCATTGCGTGGTTCGACAGGACCTCACCACACAGAAAGCATAGTGGCTATGCGGGCTCAGTCGTTCTTGCAGTGAACCCAAACATTTTGTAATTGTCTTGATATTGACGTGTTTTTGTGTCTGTTATTTTTCTGGTGGGCAAGAATTTTCTTGACTTGTGTCAGGTCCACTGGTTGATGGCCCATCGAGTTTTTTAAGCCACCTGTCCATAATGGCAGCTCTGTTTTCTGACAAGCTGTTCTCGTGAATGATTAAAAATGGCGGCAAATATGAAAATGCACCTAAACTAACTTGACCTTGAACCTGATTTTTAATGGTTTTTGTAACAATATTATTGTCAATATTAGATAAAATAAAGTGTCAGTTAATAACATTTGTATTATTATTATTATATATATATTTTTTTTGTATTGATCCTACGGACCCCCTGCAATTACGCCACGGACCACTAGGGATCCGCGTACCCCCGGTTGAGAAACACTGGTATAAACAATAAACAATTTTAGTACTGTGTTCCTGAAGCAAAACATTTTTTTAATTCAATAATTTAAAAATAGCACTACTGTATATGAGTGCTATTTAACTATTATTTATCCAAATGTCAATGTTAAAAATATACATATATTATTATAAATTCATATATTCATATTAATATGAATTAATATAATATTTTATATTTTATTTATATTTCTGATGTTTTTTGTTTTGTTTTCTAGTTTTATTAGTTGTATTTATGTGTTCAAGTCACCAGTGTTGTGATATATAAGTTTTAGCTTAATAATAATAATACTAATTCATATACATTGTATTATTCATATAAATTAATATAAATATTAATATTGACATTGATGTAATATTTGAGTTAAATTAGGTTTAAGTACTAAAATGACTAACTGAAATATAACTCTTCATAAAACTACAGTACTATTATCAAACTACTCATTACAAAATAACTAAAAATGAAACAAATTTAAATGAAAACTGAAAATATACAAATAAAAGCTTGAACACATAAAATACAACCAATAAAACTAGAAAAATCCTTAAAACTTACTCTAAAACATTGATCAAATTCATCATTTGACTCAACTGTTTATTCTTAAAATTACAAACTGTATTTCTTTGTACATTTTTTAAATGCTGCACAGTGATTTCAATGAATCACTGAATCATTGTTTTGAATCTGTTCATTTAAATAAACCACCCAAATGATCTGATTCACTAAAATGAACCAGACTTCCTAATGTTTTGAGAGAGACCGAGAGAGGGGGCGCTACTGCAAAATTATGCATGAATGGAATGAATTTCTGTGGGAATCCTTCACAATGCCATTATTTTGTACATTGTTGCATTCTTTTCACTGTAATGATTTGCACAAGAAAGGATTTCTCAATGATTTCCACAGAAACGTGCTCATGAATGACACCCGATTTCACAAAAACAGCGATGTTGTGTTTCGCTAATTGCTGGAATGAGTATCCACTGAAAACAGTTTTGCTATGAACGAGCTGGAATCCTGTCAAACACAGTTAGTTACAAGCGCCTGAACTCGATCAGATGTGTTTATGCACGCTTTTACATTTCAAAATGTTTTCCAGAGCAATGTTTAAAGTGTCACTTTTGATTGTGAAAATGAAGCGGCGCACATTAGCCAGCGATATAACCTCCATCGGTTCTGCGCTTCCACCTCTGGGATCCGTGTGCCATTATTTTCTCGGCTCCTCGGTTTGGGATCAGAGCGGGGCCGAGACTTAAACAACAGGCTCTAAATGAAATGTCTTGTTGGATTTACACCTCTCTTCACCTCGGATCCCGGCGCGACCCTGCAAGCCGCGGTCTGATTGGCCGCTCTGAAACGGCGTGTGATGATGCGTGAGACTGTCTCAGGGGTCAGAGGTCAGCGTGACAAACGCTCTGTCATCGCTAGCGGTCAGTCACAGGTCAGAGGATGAACGGACAGGCACTGATAGAGACCTCACAGAGCGGGAAGCACAGGAGAATTATGGGCATGAGAAGAGAACGCTGCCTCTCGATAACATTCAACTAAATCACCTTTATATTCCTGTTTAGAAGGTTTTATGGATGCTGGTATGAATTTAATAACTATTCATTTAGCATTTAGCTCAACTGGTTTTGCTTCAGTTGCTACAACTCGTGTTTGAACGGTTTTCTTGGTGCCAATAATTCTGTATAATAATGTATTTAATATCTGGGTTGTATTTTACTTTTTCATTATACGGTGAAATTCTGATGAATTTACATGAAAACACTGTTATTATTAGAGCTTTTATTAATGTTTTGAATTAGATTTTTTATTTTAGCTTCATTTTTAGTAATTGTTTTATTTTTATTTTGTCTTTTTATTGTTTTTTTTTTTATTATTATTATTATTATTATTATTATTAT